GGGATCGGATAACTGTCTGCAGGCTTAAGAAAAATAAAAAATAAAATAAAATACAAATATTACCGACTCAAATGAAATCAAAATGACTAACAAAATGCGCAATTAAATGAACCAATAGGAACAAACTGCAGGTGCATGCATAGAGGGGTTTTCACACACAAAACATTCAAAATGGAACATACACTTAGGTCCAATGTGTTTCATAGATTCCGAGAACCGCGAAGTTGTTTCTCCTCAGTTCCGTGGCTTTTTGATTGGCACTTCCGGTCTCCCATACTGTCCGAACTTTCCATGTACCTATATAAATTGTTGCTTTGGTTGTTGGAAAGGGCATCGGCCTCGTGACTTCTGAAGCATCTCGGCTTTCATCATGAGGCGTCATGATTATTGTGAAAGAATAGTCCTCAACTCAGAGGTCAGAGTCTAAATGTTTTAAATTGTTTATTCTGCTTAGCGTTTTTCAGCAAGGCCGTTTTCTGCGGGACATGGTTGCCGACCCCACACCAAACTCTCCCCTTTTGTGTGGGCTTGGGACCGGCAGTAACCCTAGAAGAGCTACAGATGGAGTTAGAAAGATGTTAGATTTACAAAATTCATCAGCGTGTCAGAAAACAGAACGTTTGAATGTCAGTAAATTTTGGATTTCAAGATGCTTTAAACTGGTAGATTTCGAACAACATTGAACTCACAATAGATCCCGACAACAAGAGCTTCTTATTATCTGTCATAGTTGAGCAGCATGTCTGAAATATACGTTTCATACAGCGGTGGCTGATATTTGTGTTCTGGGCTGTACGGGCTGAGCTAGGCAAGAACTTACTAAAGAGGACTCATAGTCAACTATTGGCTGCTTGTGCCGGCTAGAGACTTATTGGTTTAGTATAGGGACAAGGTTATATGAGTCGGTGTTCTGACTGGCGAATTTGTTATGTAATATTTTAACGGGCCGTGAGACAATACGGTCTTCGCAATGTTCCCAAAAAATGCATGATCCCACACTTCTCGTTTTTAAATAGTAACTGCCATAAGTACTTGAGGTCACTTCGAATCTGGGATCCAACTGTTATTCATTTGTGTCAACCTTAGTTCATTCCTCTGATTAGTTTTGTCAGAGGGATAGCTAATCTTGCGAGTGATAAGTGGTAGGTTGGTTAAACCTTAAAAAACTATTAGGCTACCTGGCCTTAATTAAAACACTAATAAGAACAACTGTTTCCATCATAATGCCAAATAGAACAGATTAATTTGAAACGCCCAACATTTGGTAAGTTTGGGTCCAGCCTTAAGGTACGTTTTATACTCGGAGATATGAGAATTAGTGTATATGGCAGTCTGGAAGAGAAGTGAGGCGATGACTGAGTAAGTACATGGAATGAACTTAATATTGGTAATTTACTCAATCAGTAGTAGTTAGAAGCAATACAGGAGGAAGAGTGCCATAGTCTGATGATCGGAACTACAAGTTGATGGAATAAGGCTTCACAAGGGTCACAGACATTCTGCTTGTTTACAAGTAAATCACCAGGTAAATATAATTTTAATGTTTGCTAACATAAAAGAAAGACTCTGCTGTCTGTTGAAATATTCTTCATGTCCTTCATTGTAGCGTACTTACGGCTATCCGTCAAACGTAATTGAGTACGTCCAGACTATCAAAGTTATCTATAGTATCAGTGTAAGGCAAACAATTAAAGATTTCAAGTGAATCGATTGCTATGGTACAAAGAATAGTGGTTTATTCCAAACTGTTACCATAAACGTTCAGCGCGCAACTTTAGGTGCTTGTATAATATCGACTGACAAAGTATTATCAATTGTAGCCCTAGAAACTCTTGGAGGCTTAAGCATTGTGAGGCTTGACTGACTGTACAGAAGGATAGGAGATTGCATGGAGGTTAGGGATGAAACAGTACATGAGTGGTTAGATCAAAATTCGTTAGACAGTGGCTTAGTTGGTGTAACGACCGAACTGCCAATATTCAGTTTGAACACAGTACTGACCAAGCAAAATGTATTCGAATAGGCCAGACTACGTTCTTCTGTATAGCTTACAAAGCGTTTTTGAGACACGCGTACTAAATTATATCAAAACACAAACTTCGTGTTTAATTTAAACGGTTCTAATTTAGGAAATAGAACAAATCAGATCAGAAATACAAAATACCTCAGACGATACAGCCTGTGCTATACAGTCAGAAATTTCTCTGACGCTAAGTAGCGTGCTAAGCAATAAAAGAAATAGTTAATACCAAAATGTACGTTACCTGAGGATCAATAAAATATTCCCGCCAAGATGGGGTCAAATATCTATCCGCAGGGATTCCAGCAATCCTCCCAAGCAGACAGTAAAAAGGTTAGCAGTCACACGCTGTATCACGCCGTGACCTTGAGCTTAGTCAAATACGACCTTACTGTCAACAGTCCGGCAACATGCAATAGAAAATTAGATAGCAAAAGATAGGTCTTTAATCAAAATCACATAATAAAGGCTCAGACGAGGAAGACTGAAGAACAAAATATGTGGCTGAATGAGATCTGAACAAAGATTAAAATACACGACAGAGAGAAGAAACAGGTAAATGACAGTACTGTCCAACAAAAAAGCTGTGGAGGGATTTTCATCGTTCTCTTTCCGCTACAGTTGGTTTATTGTAAGAGCTTCGAATGTGTAAGTCTTGTGAGGAGTCTGGATTATATGTAAATAATGTTTATAACTGAGGTGGGATCAAATTTTTCACTCTTCTTAGGCTTTACATGAAAATTATTGGGGGATTAGAAACTCCACTAGGTTCGCTGTAGTCGAAGAACTTACTCGAAAATGAGGATGTATCCTCGGCAGAAGTTAAGAGCGTTATTCACATGACCATTTGTAAAGATGTCATTATGATTATCTGCAACCATCGAAAGAAAGTTTACAGGATAAATGGGGGTACCAAAGAAATGCCTCAATACATTAAATAGCCTTATAAGAGACAGATGGTCTTGGTGAGGAAGTCGGACGTTGGGGCGCAATTGTTGCTAAGAAACTAGTGCAATGTTGAACTATGAAAAATTAGGTAATTATTTGAGACAAGCTTTGTCATAAATTTGTGGCCGAAAGTGACATATATTGAGTTACGCTACAATCGAATTGAGCGACTCATATATCATTTTAAGGGCGCTTATAAGTGACTACTTCGCCAACTTCTAAGTCGCATTGGCCTTCAGTACCTACACTGGCAATCTGTAGAACCTGTGTTGCCTATGGACCGTGCTATACTCTGTTAAGGCCCATACATACAACCTTAAAAATTATACGTAGTGGTTTAAAGCTGGTTGTCAGATTAACAAGGAAGAGAAGTATGGCGATAACTCATTGGTCGCATTAAAAATTCATGACAACTTAGTTGTTGCGATTCTGTGTTTAAGAAAATCGTTTAACCAGGCTAATCGTCAGAACCTAAATAAAAAATCTGTTTGCAAAACTAACTTACTGTTTTAACACCATATACCTAATTATACTAAAGTATTGAGATGTCTTTTCTCAACTACTGCGTAATCTACCTCGACACACTTTAGGTTGTGAGCATTTCAGCAAAGATTCTTCTAGGCAGAGTATGAGAGTGGCTCGAGCTGGCATTGATCATTGATAGTTCTTTTAATTTAATTTTAGTCATTGTAAATCCTGGCTAAGGATGAAAACAAACTCTAGTGTCACAAACACCCTATTGACATGGAATAGGTAAGCAGACTACTGGTATCAGAATGTACCCATGCATCTTCAGATATTTAGTTTGTTTGGATTGGATTGGAAAGGTTTGAGGGCCTGAACCATGTTGAAGTCACTATACTTCATAGTTTTTTAGCCTGGCTTACCACACGCGATAATGAGTCTATCCTGCTTTTGCGTTGCAATGCTAAGACAAATGGAGCCTAATCATATAAACGATTTATTCAAATGCGAAGAGGACGGAGAAGTACAAAGTACAAGAGAGATCAGGTGCTGTAAACGCCACTTTCATAGAGTGTATCCATCTATTTGTATTACTTATTCTTGGATTCTGAAAATATCCGGTGATCTAGTCAATTCTAAGCGACCTATCCTGAAATACAGAAACGATTCAGATTAACATGCGATTTGGCTACGGCTTGCTGATATTCCACTGGCTTTAAACGTTGAATATTTCCTAGTCCCTCATAGTATTTGACACATTGGAGTATAAAGTTCCACTGACATGCTTACTCATGAGGTTACTTATTTCTTAATTAAAAGGCTACTTACAGGGCATTGCCGTTCGTACCTATGTTAATAGAACATACTCCAAATGAATCTAATTCCCAGTTATTATGCGATTTGACTAGCTAAATTACAGTTGATGAACTTTTTCAGAGATCTAAAACTGTTCCTCAACATCAATATGTGTTTGTAAAGAGGCTTATTTGTTCATTTGAATCGTTTGTAAAGAAACTTGATAATTTTTCGAAGACTCGCAATAGCATCTCGTTACGATTTGATGAAGCCTCATTTAACTCTTCTGAATAATGTACCTAAATCCTAACCTGAATGAATAGGTAATCCATCGCTGTCAAACCAGAATATTGTTGAGCAAAAAAGTTTTATTTTCATTCATAACCATTCGAAACACTTGAAAGCTGTCTCTGTACAAATTTGTTAGATACTAGAACCAACGTTAGCAGTTTCTGAGAAAAATAAAAGCTGCTGAGTAAAATTTAACCAAAGTTTTCTGATTACTTATTGAAATGGTCATTGCAGTCGTATGACTGCACTTGTCTGACTGGCGTTTGTTTGAATCAATGAACGAACCAAACTTGTAGCTAACCTAGAAAAAGGTTATGCAGATTCCGCTCTACTCGCAAAAAGTGTTGTTCCCTCGTGTTGGGACGTTAATAGCTAGTCAACTTATGATGTCATTTTCAAATGACTGAATGTCATGCATATCAAATACTTGCATATTTCACATTAGTTTGGAGTTATATTTAAATTTTTGAATCAAAAAACTATGTTAAGCTCCACCGCTTCTGATAATTTAGCCTGTACTGATGAAGTCAAAGTTTATGAAGATGAAGGGGAAGAAGAAGAACAGCAGAAATCCTCAGAAAACCTTACAGAAGATAAAGTTAGGTTGGTTATCGAGAGTGAAACTCAAGTAAGTTCATAGTTTTATCCTATTTTTAATTTTGTGGTTTTACATAATAAATCGATTAAACAGAGTTTCAATAGAAAATTTCAAGCATAATCGTACTGTTGAACTCACTACTAAAATCATGAAAACCACTATTTTAACTCGTTTTGTTAGGCCCGGCTAATTTTATTGAATTCAGTTTGTGTATTATGCAAGTATAATTTAAGTACTCATTATCAGTTTTCAAAAAATGTACTCTTACTCTAGATAAAAAGTTTTTTTGATCACGAATTTACGTGTAAGTTTGGCGTATACCGCTTGTAGTATTAGTTCTATGAGTTGGAATTATGTTCCATCACATTACTTAATTGGTTTTTTTATCTCACTATCCTGCTAACCCTTCCACGTAAGACTTTTTGCTTATCCATTTGTTTGTTCGTAATTTGGAGTACAACAGGGCAGAGTGTAAAGCCGTCTAATTCTAACTTCATGGTTTTCATGCTGACTTAATTTCTGCTACATAAGCTGTTGGTTCTTTATTTATTTGTGAATAAACTTTTGTTGATGGATCATAAATATTAGGCTTGTGAATATGAATCTCAAACACTGACTAGTTGTTTTCATGTAATGCTAAACGTCAGTAATTAATTTAAGTAACTAGCTAGACTAACAAACGGCTCTTCGATCTACATAAGTTACAAGTTGAAAACTTATTACACTGTCATAAATCAAATCATTTAATCACTAAACAGTGTTTCTGTGTTATTTACTTGTCCACCAACAATCTGAAATTTATGTAACTGTCAAAGTCTGGGACTTACATCTAAGGGGACAAGATGTTTACAAAATTCTTTGTGGTAAAGCAGCTAGTATGTAGAGGTGTGACGTCAGTTTTTATTTCAGTGAATCACTCTTTGTTTCTGTAAAGTCTCTACCAAATATACTGAAAATCAATTCCAGTAATACCGATTATTTGGGGTTATATTATTTCGGATAAGAGGTCGTTTTTATATAAGATGTTTGTTCAGTAAATAAAATCGTTATTTTAGGTCGACTGCAATTTACCATTGGGTTGCTTTGGTACTTATTAAGATCTTTTCAAAGTCTGATTTAAATTATCATTTATTTAGAATGTGACTTTCCTATAAACTCTATATTAACTGTTGGTTGAGTAAATCATAAACTTGTTGTTAAGACATTTTGATCTAATTATTTTACATCTTTGAGTTCTTCTATCCGACCATTTTAAACGGTTATTAGTGGTCCGGTTTTACATGAACTATCATGATAAGCTTAAGTGGCCTTCACAGAAATAATAAAACTGTTGTGATTTTCTGTGGCATTCCTGGTCCGTAATTTCACTAGTTTAACATTCTGTTTTGTCTGGCTTATACACAATTACTGTGTTAGGTAATTTTTATGAGGTATTTCGGAATTATTTTCATGCTTATGAGCGTATCCGATCATTTTTGTCATTACCGCTCATTGAGCTACATACTTAGAATACATGGTGGCTTAGTTTACATGTATAACGTGTAAAGACTTATTTAAAAATGGGTTTACTTTTTGAACATATATTTTTAATAAACGTCACGATATGAAACGTTTTTTTGGAGTAACACAGTCAGGCTACATTTTAAGAATCCCATCCATGTTAATAATATCCCTTTTAATAAGAAAAAAAGAATTCAGCGGAGAAAATTTTCCTCGCCGAAGTTTCTTTTTTCCGTTAGCATAATTGGCTGTGTGTTCCTGTTTTGATATTGTCTTGTTTCTTAAAGTGTGTAAATTGTTAAATAAAGCATCAATGCTCCTGCTGTAGATTATAGGTAAGGGGTAATCTGATATCAGTAGGTTTTCTTAAATAAGTTGGCTAGACTCCCACGGAAACTAGGAGATATATATTGCATTCTACAAAGTCGTAACAACAAATGACAATATGCAGTGATCATGAACTTTATCCTTGATGTGCGATAAAGTGTTCTGTACAAGTTTAGTATATCTGAGATAGTGACACTATCTACTGACTCCAAGTACGACAATTCCATTTAGGGGATTTTAATTAGCAGACGTCGTAAAGTTTAAATGAGAATCATACGTTTCGTCCAGACTAAGGAATCTACATTTCCGGACACTCCTCGGGAAAGCGGTCGATAACTCTATAGTTTAAAGCTGTTTCTTCGTTTAGCAAACATTAACATATTTTTAATATATTTTACCTCCAACCAGTATTTTTCATCGGATTAGGAGATGTGTGATGCTTACTTTAAACACCTCATATGGTGTTAGTTTAGGGTTTCATCAGTTGAATTCGTTTTTCCTGGTAAACAACCCTTAACTTAGAGATAACTTCGTGATTCTACGAATATTTATAGCCTACTTCCATACTTTCTGTTTTTAGACAGAACGTTTCATCTTCTTAGAGCCATACAGATTAGACTGTTACCAGATGGATATTTTATCTGTTTCATAAGCAGTGTAAGATGTTGAAAGCTGAAAAAGCATTTTGCACGCGTACTTAGATTTGCTCAACCATCAACCCACCAAGAATTCCAAGACAGGTAGATCTTTCAATGTACTCGTCTACCTCATTTTCCACCGTGAAACTAGCGATTGGTACAAACCTTTTCTAAAGTAATATTTTACACTCAGTATGAAGGAAACATATTCTATGTAAAATAGGGTTTATAGCAAACAGTAATATCCTTGAGTCAATAAATTAGTGTTATGATTGTGGAAATAACTAGGAAAAATTCACCATAAATTTATGAATAATTCATCAAGGAAACAATGATTATGAAAACAGGAATATATTGTACGGAGAGGGATCTATAGTATGTTGATAAATATTTCATTGTCAAAATCACTTCAAAATATTACTATATAAACTATATCTCATATTTTCAATTGTATAACACATTCGATGAAGAGAGATAATTGTCATTAGTCTTTTAAAACTACAAAATTTAACAATCATTATTCATTCTAGGTACATCTATCAATTTCATAACTATAGTTTGCCTTATTTCCTGGTTTCCCATTATCCAATGGTACATTATTTGTTCTTCTCTCTAAACAATAATGGGTTTTTTTTATTTATAATAGGTTTTCATTTCATTCTAGGCTTCAGTTCAATAACTCATATAGGTGATTAATATCATCAAGCTTAGTAAAACAATATGATTTCTTGGATTATTACAATACATATACTTTCAATTAGAAAGTAAAGAATTATTAATGATTAATATGATTAGACTGAAGCTTACATATTAAACTATTAATCAGTGAATAAAACAGACTTCTTAAATTCTGAATCAATACAAAGAAAGTTAATAAGTTTATTTACAGGAAATAAAATATGTTAGTTGTTTTAAATGAAATACAAGTTGTCAGTGAATATTGAAAGATACTTTATCGGTAACCAATCATGAAGGAAATGAAATTTTCAATCTTTTTTGTATATAAATGTAAAGTTATGTTAAAAGATTTTTAGCATATTTCATTCTTTTTTTTCTTTTCTTTTCTTTTTATATTTTTTCTTGTTTTTCTTCGACTTTTTATACAAGCCATTAGTTAAATCATTAATCAATTTTGGTATTTTTGTTTCGATATTGTATATTTTGCATAGAAACAGTTTATATTTTTTTCATTCCCCCACCCATCACCATCACCACCACCACCACTACAATCTTATGCATAGTCTAGATTATATCATTGTATTTTTTGGAGAGCAATATACACTTTATATATATATATATATATATATATATATATATATATATATATATATATTTCTTTTGACAAGTATCCTTGATTACATGTTATAGTTTTAATAGTCAAACTTGTGATACATAATGTATATATATATATATATATGCTATTTTGTTGAAGTCTATTTTCTTCGAAGTTCTCCGTCTTTATTTATATGAAGAGAATGATCACTTTCCAATAAGTCATTACCTGTTTTGGCTTTTTTTTCGTTCTGTGTTTTTTTTTAAAAGATATATATATATATATTTCTTTGTTCCCCTTTAAAAACGATTAACAGTATCTGTTGACTAAATGAATAAATTATAGATAATTTATTGTCTATGACAGTTTTGATGTCTAACAATTCTCATCATATAATGAATGAGTGAATGAAATATATGCCTAGTCCTGTCCACAATCAGTTTCCGTATTTCCTACTTTTCATTCAGACAGATTGGTCATTTTGTAGATATATGTTTGTATATAGTCTGTATTGTAAATAAAATTATTGATTATACACTAATCGATTGGTAATAATAATAATAATAATAATAATAATAATAATAGTAGATAAGGTAATTGTTTATTTCGTTTATTCTTCTTCTTATTTTTTTCCTTCTTACATTTCATTATGTATATTGTCAAGACTTTGAGATGTTTTCTTTCTTTTAATTAATTCCTGTCTAGAAAGAATTAATTGAAGTCTTTAATAGTTGTATATAAAATTTATTCAGAAGTCTAGTTCTTTTACACTATGAATAAATGGAGTATATTGTATAGTTGTTTAAAATTAGATCGTAGGTAAAAATCTAAGTGAATTAATAAAACAGCAGAAATATTGTGCTTAGCCTAGATGTGACACTTCAAACCGAGATCCTAAATTTCACCTTTCTGGAATATATATGCGTGCATACAACCACTGCCAGGGAAGTCCTACACACTGCCCCTTCTCGACATTACTGTTGTCTACGAATTTGCGAGGGCGAAAAGTGAATATCCGGTGCTTTAACCGGGTTGGTGGACACGAGGAATCTACATAGGGGAGTTGTAAAACCCTGATTCCAAACCAATGGTGCACATGGGTTCCAGTATCCTGTGGGAACAAATGGCGTACGAACCCAACATTGGTCACCGGCTACCATTGGATTTCATCTCCTGACGTTACTCCATCGCCTTGTGGATCAGACCTTTAGGTTAAAGGCTGCGGTGTGGTCACCTATGACAACTACCTGCCCCGATTTGGGCACCCGGGCAGTATCTCAGCCCTCACACAA